ATATTAATGCATTATGTTCCATAAACTATCCATTCATAAAAGCTGTTTTCTGATTAGCTAGAACTAATTGGACTCATCCTTATACTATACTAACTCCGTAAAATAATGATCTATCAGATAAAATTTTAAAGTTTGTTTTCTCATTAAATCAAATTAATCATAGTGTAATGAACGAAACATCAGGTGAAAAGCCATACAGTGGCTTTGTAAAATATGAAAATATATTAAACTTATCATCTGCACAGCTTCCTTGAATTGTGCTTTACATGCTCCATCATTCTTTTAATCATGTTGTTATTCCGATTGCTGTGCTTTCTTTTCTCTCCTCTCTATTTTAATCTTCTACGAGTAAGCATTTCATTTCCAATTCCTGCTACATACTACTTGTGTCTGTCCGCATAAGTAGTACACACCACAATAGGACCTATAATTACAACATGACCTTCGAAATACATAAGTTGTGCATGGTAATATTTCCAGCCTTTTTAATATTGCAGTGTACAGTACATCAATACTCTCAGATATTAAAAAAGTCACTTAATATAAACTGAATATAATAGTTTCTTTTTAAAGTCAATAAACTGAAACCCCACTGTCTACACATGAAACCAGTAAACTATGATTAAAATTCGATACTTATTTTACGCTCTTCTGTTTCCAGGTATAAGTCCAGGATGTCGAGATATGTATTTACATGATTATGATTGCCAATGGGTTGATATAACTGACATTGCTCCAGGGCAGTACACATTCCAAGTATGTTTATTTGAATTTAGTTAACACTTTATGTAATTGTTCATACTGACTATATTAAATATAAAAATAGCCTGTCCAATAAATTCAAACTGAGGTCATCAAACTATTGCTTCTGAAAAATTCAAAATAAAACCAATCTTAACCCCATTAAAATGCTGTGGTGTTGCACTTATCCTATCTCGGTCGTTAAAAACAGTTATTGGAATCTTAATAAGCAAAGTTATTTGGGTTCATCATAGTCCGCGATTTCCTTGACCTCACAATCTTTCCAACTTTCAGCAAGACTCAATCAATGTACGCCCGAGTAATTTACAGTTTCTCCTAAGTTCAACTCAAATGTTACAAAACAACTTCATGCAGATACTCTCGAATTAAACCCATTGCTGTTCACTTCATGGATTTCAAGGCTTACTTGTGAAATAAACCACTTGAGATCACAGAACTTATCCAAATGGCTTAACAGAAAATTTTAGATCTATAACTGGTGACTAAAATAGCGAATTCCTTAATAGAATTCAATGCTTCATCAGTATTTTAATAACTCTTAAGAATGAAATGAAAATTACATTTGCACCACACAGTGCCCAACAATTTTGAAGACTCGTTGCATATGCAATAAAGAGTATTAGAATTAGAATTCAGGGAAGAATCCGTCTACTCCATATTTTCGATACATGCTCTCACGTCCTACGAATAACGCCACTTGAAAGCTTATATCGTCATTGAAAATCTACATAAATCATACCATCACTCATTCATTGTAGTTTTAGAATGTTGCAAGCTGCGTTGTCCTTTGATATACCTTGGCTCAGCGGAACGCCAAGTCATGGGAACATCCATCATAATTGTCGTTGATTCGTGTTTTGTCGTACCATAACCTCAGTGGGTAACATCACTAAGCGTTCTTGAAAAATAACTCAATCATATTTCCATTGTTTTTCTATAACTGGTACCAAAGTACGTAGTCACTACTAAATTGATAACAAATACAGTCGAAACATTTTCAAACACATTATTTGACAGCTTACTGCTTTCGTGGTTATTTTGCTTTCAACTACAATGAAGCCCTTAGATTTTAGTAAGGTATAATATAATCATAAACTTTATCATCTAATATCACACCTCCATTACTCTTTCCTAGGTTTCATTTAATCCTGACTTCTTGGTGCCGGAATCCAATTTCTTTAACAACGCATTGACATGTCAAATGACACATTTGGGATATACTGCTGTTTTAAGACTATGTCGATTTATTCATTTAAATGATTTATTTTGAATCCTCTAATCCTTCAAGTAACAATTTTTTTCCAATTCAGTTATTTAACATGTTGGTATTACTTGTAAATCGTTGATGATAATAAATAAACAACCTTCACTATTTCACTTGTAAATCATACGCACCCGTAATTGTTCTTCAATACATGCACAAATTGTGGAAAAGTTTTTAGGTACAAACTGTGACCCATATCAACAAAATTTTGAGATGTAGCAAATGATATGAAGGCCTACATAAAATAGACGGTTTTGGTCAATACTGAAGTTGAATGCGTAAACCGACAGATGCTAACTCAGTGATCTAAAGATAAACAACTTTCACTGGGACTTGAAGAGCTGGGCTCGGCTACGCACGGCGACGAGTCCCATGCCGCATCGAAACAGCTGTTTATTTTATTCTGGTTTTCAATGATTGTCTACGATCACTAAGTAGTATAAGCTACATAATAATGGACAGCTAAAATATTTTGTCACTACCAAAGCAAATGATCTACTATGATCTAGCTGTACAAACTTGACGCCCGACATCACACCTTAGAAAATGCCTTCTCAGTTGACAGAAAACAGATACATTACTACTTGAAAAGGATTACCAATCAAAATGCTCAAAGCCACTGTGAACTATGTTTAAAATAACTACACTGGATTGTGATCTTAAAATGGATACTTTAATGTACTTATTTTCTACATTGGGTATTGCCAATGTTAGTATATTTACCGAACAAAGATGACAGAGAAAAAAGTGGATTACATTCTTTACAATAATTTAATATTTTTACAACCAATGTATTTCACGTACTTTACATAGTTTAGCTTACAGCAGTAGTTCACTCTGAAAGTCATGAATGAGGGCAAACTGAAATAAAATAATGTTAATCAAGCGTTATCTTAAGATAGTGGTTAGAAGTTCAGAATGAACTAAAATGAAAATTACTGAACAATGTTGTATGTTGAAATAGGTTTTACAATAAGGAAGAATAAAAATGATCTAGCAGACGATATTGTAGAATACGAAAATAAAAATGACATCTAAAGCATTCAGTCCATCTGATGAATTCCGATAGAGTAATAAGAAGACGGAGATTATCAGATGAAATCGACCGTTATTAAGAACAATGTCAACCATATTGATATGTTTAAAATATCATATTAACTAATTTGCAACAAAATTCTATTGGTTGAAAGATATTTCCAAGACATCAATTTACAAAAATAATACTGAGACATGCACAACCATGATAATTTAGGCAGTTCATTATAACTTTTCAGCGTTATAAATTACGACGCTTGGTGTAAATTAAGTTGGCTTGAACAATGAAAGCTGAGAACCAATTAAAGACTAGGCTGAATGATTTCAAAACTAAAGCGAGTCATATGCAAAGATGGACAGTGGCTAGCAGTGGAATGCAAAACGCGCTTTCCGTCCTATTTGCGACTCGTCAGCTGGATGTACCTGTACCTCAAAGTTTATATTTACCCCGGGACTAGAACTCGGTACCATTCATTTCAAACGTCAACGCGCTATCCACTTAGCTACTGAGTCCTGATAGCCACTTGCTTTTGCAATGGGGTGAAGTTTAAATCCACTTGGTATTGTTTCTTTGAATCTTCCCATTGATTTTTAGGACTGAAATTGGCATATGTGCATACTGTGCGTAATGCCTCGATATAGCCTTAATCCACAAGCATTATATGCAAATAGGGCGGGACGCACGTCCTGGATCCCACTGCTAACCACTATTCATCTTTATTTATAATGCTTGTGGATTCAGGCTATATCGAAGCAATACACACAGTATGCACATATGCCAATAAGAGACTGATCAATTTCAGTCCTAAACATCAATTGAAAGATTCGAGCAAACAATGTCAAGTGAATTTAAAGTGAGCCATAGTTTATCTTTTTATCATGTAATTACTATGAGCTTGGATTTCTATATTTTTATATCCACCTATTTATAAACTTTCGTTTGCCTCGTAAACTGTTGTAATACGTCTCAGTCCAGACCTATCTATGATTTCCCCATTCCTCTGTTTTGTATTACGGATAACCAAGTTGACCATACAATTCAATTCTTAATTTGTTAGTTACGCAGTCTGTTGTTTGAGAAATTATTATTGCATGAATTTCGAGTCAAAAGAGGATAATTATGCTTCCTATCTTCGTCTTTTGATTAGACGCTGAATCAGATATCGAGGACTAATAGGCGTTAGGATCTCGGGGTAGTTGTTTAGTAATCACTGTATCCTTGGCAAAATAGATTACTGGTCTGAGGCAGTGTAGGTGAATAAGCCGATAATCGGACTAGAGAACACAACCGCTCCCATGATAACCGGCACGGTCACATGGTCCCCAATACAGTTCAAGCACTTGTTATTTTCGAAAATAAAGCACATTCTAAGCTTAACCAATGTTTATAAAATCCGTCAACTAAACCAAGAATGACGATGACTAGAACAAGCACATCTGTCATTTGAACAATGCCTGACGAAATATTAACAGTCTGGATAGGTATATTAATTTACCCAATGGAACTATAATTAAATAATCCAAACAGATAATGATCAATCGCTGGAAGGATAGAGCTAGAAGAAACACTATATTTGCGTAATACTAATAACTACTATTTTTTTTATTTTATTGAATACTCTTATGATCATTTTGTTTACAAAACAACCGCTATTTATATTTTAAACAACCCTTCTAATATCTACATAAATCAGAAGCTGAGGTGAAAATTCCGGATCGAAATTACAAGTAATAAGAAACAAAGACAAGGTCAAAAACTTTAACGTAATTAGACAAATCGGAAGGAGAGAAATTTAATTACCAAAAAATATATATATCCAATAGATCTAGGAACGAAAGCAGGAATTATATCGATATATATATATATATATATATATATATATATATATATATATATATATATATATACAAGAAGAAAAATATTTAAAGATTGGTAGGTTTATTTAAACTTCCATTTCTGAAAAAAAGAATCCAAAGTTGAAGATTGTACAGATGGTAAACGATTTTTGCCAGATATCTTTGAATGTGAAGAGTGTTGTTTACTGTTAAGATTGTTATTTGATAGTTTTGAGATCTGTCAAATAAATAAATACATAAATGTTAAAATAGTACATTTATCATTAAATTATTAATGTCTGCTTGTATACAGTAAAAAAAACAATAACAACAACAACAATTAAGTAGATGAACAAAAACTATGCTATTGGATATCATGAGATTGACTATGTTGATTCAATAAAAAAGTGTAAGTTTTCACTTTTAAATTTTATTGAAATTTGTTGGTTACAGTAAATAATTACATTACATTTTAACAATTTAATTATATGAAGCTTACATTGTTGTGTTGAACGGTTGTAGCTCAAAATTGAATGTAGCTATTGTCTATAATAAAACTACGTTAAAAATGTTCAACGGAATGATAAAATTTCATTATCATAATAAAATTGAGTTTTAGTTTCAATCATAAATTTTCACTAACAGATTTATGAAATATGTATCATCAATATTTATTTATTTATTTAAACACATAAACACTGCTACAAGTAGGCACCAAATAGATATGCTCCAAATAAATCATTCGATTTGTGTGAGGGCTGTGATACTGCCCGGGTGCCCAGGCCGAAGCAGGTGGTTATCTTAGGGGGCCAAACCCTGAGCCTTTGACCTTCAGGTCTGACCCACAAGGCAGTGTATCATCTTGAGAAGATGCAGTTCCATGGTAGCCAGTGACCAACGATTGGTTCATACGCCATTTGTCCCCGCAGGACACTGAAGCCCATGTGCACCAATGGTTCGGAATCTGGTTAAAGCGCCGGACATTCGCTTTTCATTCATGAAATATGTATCATCAATATACCGAATAACTAATTTTGTGGCACACAATTGATTTTCTTAAATTTTGCTACTTTTTCATATAATATAAAACATTTGTCATAAAGTATGCTTCAATTAAATGCTTTTTTTATATAGACAGCATTACTATTATTAAATTCTTCTATGGAAAAGAATTTTCCACTAAACCTATAGCCAGATAACTGATTCCCTTTTTTTAATTCAGTGAATGTCCTTCATTCGCCAGTTTCAATAGAATTAGTGTATATATACCAATCACATTATCAATATGTCAAAAAATATCAAACTGTTAATCTTATTGTTTACTACTAATGCGATGATAGAAATTATGATTCATCAGAATACATTTATATGATTGCGGGTTGCACATCCTATCAAATTCACCATTTTCATGTTTTTCTAGAAATGTGAAAAGGCAGATATCCAATCCTCGAACAAAATCGGCCGATAAAAAGGCCCATATGGTGGGGAAAATCTCTCTTTCTACAAATAATTAGTGAACTTAGACCACTAATCCAGATTAACTTTAGCTCTGACTTGGACGAATTTACTTCGTGTAGGCATTTAAGTGCAGTTGTTGGAAAGTAGCATTTTCGAAGACAAAATGTTATATTTCAATCTATGACGTAGTACTCCTTCAGTTAAAAAAAACTTACGCTATTGTGTTTTACATCTAGAATGCTCGCGTTCGGTAGTGTAACATCGGAAACATGAGGATTTTGTACACTTGAACTTCGGTTACTGATTTGAGAGAGGCGATTACAAGTAGTTTTTCCATTTGGCAAACTTGAAGTATGAGATGCAACTTTATGCGAATTTAGAAAACTTGGAGATGACTCGGTCGAAGAGGAGCTATCTTGCAACTCAGTTTCCCACTTGTTAAGGTCAGGTGTCAGAGAATCTGAAGAATTGGACTGTTTATTATTTGACTCAATCGATGAAGAATTTCCCCACAGTTGACAGGGTTTCTTGTATTTGAAGCTTTAAGAGAAAGAACAAGGTGATTTATAGAAAATTATTTATTCTGAATAATAAGTACGCAAAATATTTTTCACTAATCAAAACGTTTATTGAACTTACTCTAATGAGCGTCGACAGCCAGACTGCATATTACTGCTGAAAACCATGGAAGAACAGTCTTTACGTTCATCACTTAACATTACAGAAATATCGAAATTATTATCAACTTTCTCTTTTGATTTGCATAAATATGATTCGGAGGCTATTCGAAACGGATTTGAATTAGCCTTGTAAAATACTGGACTACGAGAAGTTTGAGAACGACCAAGATCATCATTATCATCATTCAGTGAATTAATGATGGCATCGTCTATAGCTTTTGGAACATCACTTTTCTCTTGAATTGGAAAGTAACCAGAAGCAGAAACAATGGAAGATGAAAGATGATTTCGGTCTTTCAGTTTAGGTGTAACTGGAAATTCTTCCGATTGACCGTAAACTTGCAAAACATCTATTAAAAAATATATGTATTAGAAAAAGATATCTATTAAATTAAATTAACAACAACGAGAACACTTTGATATAGTGAACAAAAAACGAACCGGAAGTGTCATCTACTGTAGAGTTATTGAGTCCAAGACATGGGCGTTTAGGTGAATCCTGATGTTCGATTTGTGGAACAGACATACTGTTTCTTAGGTTTTTAAGACTTTGTTGAATAGCTGCAGGAACCAGTATTCGACGTCCACAAGTTGACTGTGTCTTCTTCAATTCCAATTTCTTCATAGGTGATTTCTCAACCGGGTCTTTATTTTCTTTCCCTGTAGAAGAAAAGTCTGAATCAGTTGACGAGAAATCTGAAACCGGTTCAATGCAACCATTCTGAGAACGACGAAGCCAAACTACATAAATTGTACAAAAAACGAGACATGAGTAAAAAATAATTTCAAAATGACTAAATTAGTATGGTATGTGCATTTTTAATCTGAATGTACCATAGACTTAAATTATTCAAAATACAAACATTATTCAAGTGATAGGTAGGACTATTGTTTATGCTACTTATGTCGACAGACATAAGTAGTATGTAACACCGATTGGAAGTGGAAAACCTGGCACCATAAGGCTATGAAGGTTGATTTGGAGCAAACGGAAACGGAAAGGAATTGTAGGTCGGAATAATCTTGCAGGATGTGAAAAACAAATGGAAATTCGCAAATGAAGTATTCAATGTATATCTCTCATAATTTACTAAGATACAGTTGGTCGTCCTCACCTGTGTTCTAGTTCATTGAAGAACAATCACTAATTGTCCAGTTATGTAGGAACGAGTAGGTAATTCTCACAAACGTCTACGTCTACAAAGACTATCTTGTTGACTCTACATTTCATAGTACCCTTTATCATTTTGAAAACAGCGACAACAAGAATTCTGGCAGATTAACATGAATTCACTTTATGTCGTTTGGTTCTCGTCAGCTACCTACAATCTATGATATTTAAAACACAATTATGAAATGGGTTTAAATTACTTACATGAAAGACTCGACTCTACATCTCATGGTTTATTTTTCTTCATCTTATTTTGACTAGAGATTTGGTTCACTAAAACACTTATCTTTTGGCTGCTATTATTAAAAATTCAGTATTTTATGCTGTTAGATTTATTAAATGGGGTAGCAGTGTGAGTTTGGTCTTAATTTAGTTATTCAGTCTAACAAAAACCTACAGAAAAGGCACCATTTGAAATACAGCGCTGCGATATTTTATCATTTAGGATTCATGCTCATATATAAATATTCGTAACTCACGTTTGAACACAAGTATCTATAAGAATCAAGTAGAACATACCATAATGAAATCGGTCACCAAAATGAAAATCCATCAGCTTTTTTATATATTCAGCATCAAGGTAAGTAGTAGTTAGATAGTAGTACATGAAGAAATAGTATGTTTTAAACCAACATGAGTGTTCTAGTTTCTCCCTAATAATGATTCAACACAAGATTAAGGTAATTAGTAATACTTATTGCTTAATCACGCATGCAACATAAGTGTGGTATCTTTTACACTAAAATTTATAGATAGCTTTGATACTTATGTCTTCAATTTGCATTTGTATATCAACGATAAAATGTTGTTGTTATGTGGTAAGATTTATAGAGTGACATCTATCATAAAAGTATAATGTTCATATAACATACTAATTACTTTGTTTTCAAATCTACTTACAATACAACAACTGAAGACAAACATCGTTTTAGTCAATTTGATCGAGATTGTGACTAATTGTTAAAAAAGCAACTCTATTTCTGTACACAACAAAAAAAGTAAAATCAATAAAAATAAATCACGTACATTTCTGAATAGGATAACTTTTATCCCATATGCTTATTTTCAAACGATCGGGATTAGGTCGTAATCCTGATGATTGTACTTTTGTTTGAATAGTTGAATGTCCGATGATGGCTCCATTTACTTGCATTGAATTATTCTAAGTATAGGAAATTAAGTGTTCCACAAAAAAATGATGAGAGCGAATGTTAAAAATGGATTGAAAAAAAACATCAAACTGACCTAAGAAACTTGATCAGGTCGAGTATCTGCACGAAGACACCTCATACTAAACACCATAAATTAATTTCTATAAATAATTATTAGGACTAAATGGGTTACGCAAACTCAGTTTCCGGAACACTATTGATTGAATTTCCTCCAGTATATCAAGCAAGTAAAAACTGTTTATTGATTTTCTCGCACGAGTGTCTTGAAATGTGTGAGTGGAAAGAACTATGTACTAAGCAAGGTTTGCTCATAAAATTTGAATAAATTCCTCAAGTCACACGTTCAACATACATTTTGACTGCTTCTCAAAATGAGATAGGATAGTGTTTTGCAATTTTGTCGTAAACAGTATAAATTAAATTTTAGACAGAGTCAGGAAACAATTTGATGGTTAATATTAAACCTTATGGTGGCCCGAGATCTGATTCCGATTTGCTACAATATATTTTTGCCACAAACTTAATTCATCACATTAACATAACAATTTTTAATCACTCAAATTATTCACTTATGCAGTTTTCCTCAAATCAAGGTACACTAGCAAAAATAATGAGAAAATTTTCGTAACGTAAAGTAAGACACAATGACTTACTTTTGATGTACAAGGGTAGTAATTATCTATAATGGTATCATCAGAATAGCTGATATTTCCAAGAGCTCGATTGAACGCTTTCTGATTGTCTTTTAAAACCCTTAAATAAAAAGTGTTAATAGTTCACCAGTAAGTTAAACGTGAGAACTTGCTAAGGAGAATCCAGGTTGTCTAATAATTTGTCATCACATGTTAGTTCTTTCATAAAAAATTAACCTCTACACAATTTTCCTAATTCGAATTTTTGTAATGACGTTTGATGCTATCTGATCGGCTGTTTTTATACTTAGTTAGTTAGCTTTGTCGTGTCTCAATGTCATCGACTGTTACTATATAAACACAGTTGTTTCATTTCAATTTGACTTGGTTGCGAATACGAAACTATCCTGAACGTCCCTTTTTTATCGCCGTGTGTGAGTTATTAACGTTGAGACGAGTTTCCACTCTATCGAGTTCACCCTAGGACACATTCGTGTTAGAACAAGCTCAATAGATCGTAAATAGCCATTACCGTAGACAAAACTGGAAACCCAGTAGAAATTGTATTTCTAGATACAGTAGAACTTGATCAGAAAAATCAGATTAGTTCAAAACTAAATATCACAACCACCAAAATTTTAAGTCTCACATCAGTAAATGGTTTGAGTAATTACTTATTTTACAGGTATTATATATGTAGTAATTAACGAACGCATCAATCCATTTACCTTGAGTTTTAATGACATTAGTGAATTAGTGGAGGGTAAAGTGTATGCTCCATTGCGAGTAACAGGCGTAAGTAAGTATGTAAAGTCTCAACACATATAAAAATATGTACAACTTCAGCCTACTTCAGTTGATTATAGCGTGAAATATCCGATTGGCTATCGTATATCAGTAGGCTTCTGAATATTACACGTAAAAATAAAGGTGTACGAATAGCTAGTACTCGATTACAGGTACTTTAGAACCACTGTTGATGTTGTGTAGGGTCAGAAATCAATTGGTTAGATGGAGAACTTCAAGTAAAGGAAGTGAGGAGGATTTACGGGGCTTATCTCTAGCTACAAACAACCCGACCGTTGTTGCTACCTTGACGTGGTGGTCGGGCTTGCCTATCGTGATGAAGCAACCGAGCTATACTGACTGGAACAACCGTTCCTCAAGGTCCTACCATGTCAGACAGGTCGGTTGAAGAGCGGTAAGACTAAAAGCAACAAACCCAAGGTCCGAAGGCGAAGTCGTACTGCTGACTGTACAGAGGTGTGACAGCAGTAAGGTGTTTCCTTCAGACAACCAGCATGACAGCGATGCTGCCTTCCCACAAGGAGGGGTGGGGTTAGAAAAGGTCGACCCTAAAAATGCACACCTCACCTTACCTCACGGATTTCCGTCTCCGGCGGTAAGGCCCTTTGAAGAACGGAGCTAACACGTCGAAAACCTTCCACGAAAAGGCCGTGCGCGACCGGCCTCAAGCAGTTGTCCCTTGGGCACTGCGGTCACGCTCTCAGGTCACTGAGACCACCTCTAATCCGATTTCCTTTTCAGGTACCTCCAGAAGAACCCTTCCATGGTGTGGGCAACCGGGAAGTGATAGCCGCCCTCATACCTCTAACAGCACCCAAGACCACTGTATTCATAATCAACCTTCCTCTTCAATTCCTATTATTCCTCCTACATCGACTTTCAACCCTAAACTTCCTCCTTCGGCTTCCTCCTCAAGTGTCACCATAGCCAACGATTCTAGTGCTCAAAACTCTGTCCCAGGTCTACTGAAACCTCGCTCCAAACTACACATTGGAGCTTTCAACGTACGCACTCTATGTCAAATCGGTCAGCAGGCTTCCTTGGCTAAAACCCTAGAGTCTCTTTCCATTGATGTATGCTGTGTCTCTGAAACACGCATACAGGATCCCAGTGTGGTCATTCACTTGACCTCACCTCGGCAGAACGGAGAGCCAACGAGATACACCCTCCGTGTATCTGGTGACCCGATGGCCAGTTCTCGTGGACTGGCAGGTGTAGGCATAGCACTAAGCATGAGGGCCGAACAAGCACTGCTAGAGTGGATCCCCGTCAACAGTCGTCTATGTGCTGTTCGGCTGAACGGCTACGTAAGAACTCGGAAGGATAGGGACACACGTCGTTGCCTTTTTGTCGTTTCTGTCTACGCTCCCACTGACTGCAGCTCAGATGAAGTGAAAGATGAATTTTACAGAAAGCTTTCTGAACTTCTTCAGAAAGCTAAACGCTCAGACATAGTACTCGTAGCAGGTGATTTTAATGCTCAGATAGGTAGCTTAAACCAAACAGAAAGGCATTTAGGTGGATATTTTAGTATTCCGACACAGCGAACAGATAACGGTGATCGTCTGCTGCAGCTATGCTCAGACAATCGTTTATTTTTAGCAAATACAAATTTTAAGCATAAGGAGAGACATCGTCTAACATGGCGACCCCCTACACCAAACCAACGATGGACTCAAATAGACCATATTGCCATCAGTCATCGTTGGAGAGGGTCGGTAGAAGATTGTCGCTCATTCTGGAGTACCTGCTTGGACTTCGACCATGCCCTAATACGGGCACGCATCTGCTTGCGCCTCACTGGACGCAAAAAAGCCACATTAAAAAGACCCGTTAGAACTGAGTTGAGTAACGAGAAAACCAAAAGTAGGTTCCAGGAACAACTGAGGTCACACTTAGGTAGTTGTGAAGACGAGGCTGACCCAGATGTTGCTTGGAAGAGCATACAATCAGCTGTGGAAACAGCAGTGACATCTATTAGTGACTTAAACCACAGAGTTGCAAGGAACCAGTGGATTTCTTCAAGGTCTGTCACACTGATGGATTCTCGCAAACTCGTCCCATCAGGTTCTGAACATGATGAAGAGCGAAAACAAATCAGATCTAGGTTAAGAAAAAGTCTAAGGAACGACCGTGAGCAGTGGTGGGTAACGAAAGCAAAAGAGATGGAAAAGGCGGCGACTATAGGGAACACAAGACAGCTTTACAGACTAATAAAAGAAACTGGAATTAATAAGTCAAGTGTAAGTGAGATTATTTCGGAAAAAGATGATACTCTCATCTGCTCCCAGTCCAGACGTTTAGAACGATGGGCGGAACATTTTAGAGAACAGTTCAGCTGGCCTTCAGCTACTCTACAACTACCCTCCATTCCCAGACAATGTGAATGGAACATTGAAGTAGGTCCCCCAACTCTTGCTGAAGTTCAAAAGGCTATAGTTAATCTGAAACGAGGAAGGGCAGATGGTCCAGATGGATTGGCTCCAGAGGTCTTTAAGGATGGCGGTCCAATTTTAGCGATTAGGTTGACTAATATTTTAGCTAAGATCTGGGAATTAGACTTTATCCCATCTGACTGGTCGCAATCACTTATCGTCCCAATATATAAGAAAGGGTCAAAATCATCCTGTGACAACCACAGAGGGATTAGTTTAACAAACATAGTATCTAAAATACTGGCCTCGATAATTATCAGACGCCTAACTAAGACTCGTGAACTACAAACTCGAGAGAACCAAGCTGGCTTTAGACCTGGTCGTGGCTGCATCGACCACATATTCACCATTCGTCAGGTTCTAGAACACAGGCATACCTATCGGCGTCCGACGATGGTGGTCTTTCTTGACTTAAAAGCAGCGTTTGACTCTGTAGACCGCGAGACTCTGTGGCAGTGTCTGTCATTGAAAGGCGTACCTCAGAAGTACATAAACCTTGTGAAGGCTCTTTACTCGAACACTACTAGTCGAGTCAGGGCTTATGGCGAACTGTCATCTACTTTTGCAACTTCAAGTGGTGTCCGTCAAGGCTGTCCACTTTCTCCATTTTTGTTTAACTTCATCATAGACCTATTGATGGAAATAACACTCTCGTCGACTGAATTCTCGGGTATTGATCTCCTTCCAGGAGGTCCACTTATCGACTTAGAATACGCAGATGATATAGTCCTGTTTGGTGAAGACGCTGACAAAATGCAGAGTCTTCTGGTAGCACTAAGCAACAATGCCAGAATGTTTGGGATGCGCTTCTCTCCCTCTAAATGCAAGTTGTTGCTTCAGGATTGGTCTGCGTCAACACCTGAACTAAGGATAGGGAGTGAAGTAGTCGAACGCGTCGACAACTTCACTTATCTTGGAAGTCTGATCAGCCCTAATGGGTTGGTGTCTGACGAAATCTCAGCACGGATTCGAAAAGCTCGTTTGGCTTTTGCCAACTTACGTCACCTTTGGCGGAGGCGAGATATCCGTCTATCAATAAAAGGACGAGTATACTGCGCGGCAGTCCGTTCTGTCTTACTTTACGGCAGCGAAACATGGCCTTTAAGAGTAGAAGACACCCGTAAGCTACAAGTATTTGACCACAGATGCCTTAGAAATATTGCTGGCATCTGCTGGGATCACCGGGTAAGTAATAGTGAGGTTAGACGCAGGGTATTAGGGAATGATGATAAATCAGTTGATGAGGTTATGAATCTTCATCGACTGAGATGGTTGGGCCACGTATTACGTATGCCTGAACACCGTTTACCACGACGTGCAATGCTAACCGGTGTAGGGGATGGTTGGAAGAAAGTTAGGGGCGGCTAAACCAAAACGTGGCATCAGTGCTTGAAGTCACTAACTTCTAGTCTGAGCCATGTTGGTAGATGCAGACTACTTGGTTGGGGTCCGCGTGACTATCGTAACCAATGGTTGGAGACTCTTGGTGACATGGCTCAGAATCGATCACAATGGCGTCGGTGTATACACTCCCTGTCTTCCCTTAAACTAAGAGATTAAAATCACTTCATATCTTTCTTTCTACGAACTAATTCTTCCTTCCTATACTATATCCTTATTGCAACCTTTGACCTAACCACTCCTATGAATCCGGTGTTCATCTTGTTGTGCTAATGAGGTATGGCAACCTGGACCGATGCACATATGTGCCTGGTCCTACGTTGTAGCTGACTGACTGACTGACTGACAAACAACTAAACGTGTTGGTAAAAAAACTAAAGATAAAGAGAAAACGATATGAAGTTAACTCATAGAGCTACTGACTGTTAGTCAAAGCCATGTACACAGTAGCATCCTTTTAGGTTGGAGTTGGTGAAATAATCATAATAACTGATAGGGAGCTTGAACGATAAAGCTCCAAATCTGTGGCAGCAACATTAACTCTATAATTTCTAGGTTTTGAATATCGTGCTATTCAATGCCTCATATTCATTGATTTTATTTTTTTTTCTATTGTTAGTATTACTATCTATAATTCTGTTTCATCGATTAATGGACCCCCTTTTTCTGCCCTATTGTGAAGTGTGACAGCTTAACCTACGTACATTTGTCCCATTTCCTAAGTCATTTATGATCAACTGCTTGAACGACAAATATATCTAGCATAACCACGATTTATCTACATTAAGTAACATACTCTACCCATACGAAACTATGTAAACTATTTTTTATTTTCGTACTTGACCGAAATCCATACAAACGACAATTGTAAAAGGGGAAAAGGAACATTTCCTGAATAAAGTGGATGTATGTTTATGGAGCAATATTACCGAAGAGGAGAAAATTAATTGTTACAGAATGATGCTGTATACCGAACATTACCCTTACTAAATATTGCAAATACTTGTGATACAATCTGGATATAGCCCTTTAATTTTCAAAATACTAATTCCTTACTCTTATAGGACCAAATACAGATTTTATGTTGAAATCGTTTCAGGACATTTTTAGTGAATAATTCTATAATTTATACAGAAACTGAAATATTTTAAATAACACCGATGAAGATAGTTTGTACATGATAAGCAAGATATTACTTTACTATAAGCATTATATAGATGCTAATTTTCAGATAATTGATGTCATAGGCAGGTTTGTTGCACATTTTAGATTTGATTCTTTATCTCTACATCTTTCAATACAAACTGATCAAGTGTACTCCCTTATCTTTAGGTAGAACCTCTACAGAATATACTGGATTTTTTAACTTCCTAATAAATTAATAAGAACAAACTGATGAGAACAAGCTAATTCATGGATCGCCATTGAATGACTCAGAAATTCAAAAAAATCACTAGTTGCTAAAAATGAATATGAAACTATTTCAACATACCGTCCTGCATAACTAAAGAGGTCAACTTCGTCTTCATTTGATCCTTTCAACTCATCTAAATTATGTAATTCCTCATCTATATCCTCAGGAGTAGGTTCACTGAACCGCTTCTGACATCTAGATGCGATATCAAAGATGACTTGAAGTCGAAACGTTCGCTCTGCACGTACAGCAGCATTAAGAAGCGATTCACTTATCTGGGAACTTTTGTTGTAGTTAGCTGTTTTTACGTTCTGTCGTTTGTCACGAGTATTTTTAGTATTCACAACTTCTGTATCATCCTTCGCAAGAGCATTATTACTAAGTTTGGTATAAAACCCCAATTTCGACAACAGTTCTCTGAAATTTGTTATGCGGGTCTGACGTAATATCTACAAAATCCAAAAATTCAAAACTTTGTATGATTAAGTATTAATTATTTGTCTACGTTAGATAAACAATAAATAATATATTTGTAATATCCTCATAGGTACAAAAATTAGGTTTTCCGACGTTTCATCACTTAGTGTAAGCCACATCTTCAGAGAATAAATAACAGACTTACTGATGAATTTCCTAAAAGTATTTCTGAAAGTACAAATAGAATGAAACGCGCGACCTAGACTCCTCAACTAGCTACTACATAACTTTGTTAAAAATTTTGAATAAATGACAATATCGAAGCAATTCGCTCACAAGGCACATATGCCAGCAGAGATTGATTAGTTACAATCATTTACATCAACAACGGAGAACACGAAACCTTAAAAATAAAACTCAAATAACGCCGACACAGACTCCTTCTAGAAAAATCCCAAGTTTAAAAGTGCTTGGTTTGACAAAGTATGACATATTAATCCATCCCAACAAGCGTATGATTACTCAATGTCAAAAATATTTTTTAAACCCGAATGATGTAGCCGAAAATGTGAGTGCTCAGCTTAAACTCCCGTATAATGAGTTAGGATTACGATACAAACTTTCACATCAAGACAAGGAAACCTGATGATCAAAAGACATTAACGAATTGGAAGCAGAAGCTGTATCTGGTTGCCGCTAGAAGCTTTTCCAGCTCATCCAAGCCACTGACGACAGGAAATTCGCCGCCATCGAAACAACTGATGGAACGCCAATTAATGACATTCAAAGGCATCTCGAGAGAAGGGCATAATTCTTCGAGGGAAAATCCAAACATTCTGTTGCCCTAACAACATCGACTATGTTGTCCTGTACTTCCTTATCAGTCACTAAATATTCACCTAATAAAGACAACGTTCGTCGCGAACTTCAACTTCTGAAACGCAATAGATCACTAGGTTCAGGTAAACTACCACCAGCTCTTTTTGAAAATGGCATTGAACTTCTTACGAGGGAACTGAGTTGTTTGAAAAGGTTTGCAAAAAGAGTACTACAGAATCTTGAAATGGGAAGACCATCGTCCCTGTTTTCGAAAAAGGTTCTATGTAATCTATCAGAGGATAATTCTACTTCCGATAGCACATAAGCTATTAGCTTCGGTCAGACTCTGAACATTGTTCAGGGCCGATGAGGGACTGACTCGCAATGACCAGGCTCGTTTTCATTTACATTGTGAATGTATTGATCACATATTTACACTGCGCCAAGTGTTGCGCGTTAGTGGAACATAGATGCGATTAAAGCATGTTTCGAGCACGATTGTGTTGCTGAACGGTGAATGACTACTTATCTAATCCGAGCTAGTCGATACTAGGAAAAGACTCTAAAATCTTTTGTAAAAGTTATAAATATATTAACGTTTTTCTTGTTATGCTTCTTATTTCTTTCTACCATTGTTATTTGGAATATAATTTATTTCCTGTTCAACTCTGTTCTGATTTAGGGACTTGTCGAGTGAATTGGTGTCCAAGAATACTAAGCAATAGGAATAGCTGGGTCGTAATAAGAGAAAATCATAACAGTGGCGGCAATCTCACACTGATTGCAAGCCAACAACTGCTATGTTTCTTTAAATCACGGCCGTTATCGATGGTGCTATGAGATTACCTGTTGAAGGATGAGTCTGGGAAGTTCCTAAAAATATTGAAGACTTGTAAAAAAACACCTTATGGAGGGTGAGGGTATACAAATACCTTGTTCAATGCTACCGTTACTCTTTAATTTTTCCTGAAAACAGCTCTGAAACAAATTCATAGTGATGTGGATGTTTCCCGGAAAATGACTTTTTGATCTTAAAAATTAAACACTGGTGGATAGGTGATACAACTCATAAAAAACATTAAATTCATTAAATATAGTTAACCAGACAACATGAATACCAGTCAGAAAGGGAATTACAAGAGCAGAGAAATCAAAAATGTTAATAATGCTGTAAACAAGAATGGAAAAATAACAAAAATAACTCGACACTTGTGAACATCATAGCAGATCCTTAAGTTTCTCTCAGTTTATAAAATATAATCGTTTAGGAAACCACTTACTTTAGCAGCAGTGTTTAATCCTATGCCAGGAATTCCACTAAAATAGTCACAGCCAGCCATAATGCCCATAAACCTAAATTTTGATTCGGTGAATTGACTAGCAGGAATTCCACAGCATTCACATATACCAGATGCGGCTGCTACAAGAACCCCTGATCCCGATAAATCAAGTTTGAATACAACCTTTAAACAATTTTTAGGAATAATATAGGCAGCGAAGAAATTAAACTTATTAGATATTTCAAATGGAAATAAAGGAACTATGGATAAAAACGGGATATTGTGCTAACCGTTCCAATTATCCTGAAAGAAATATGTCTCAGCCTCTTCAGTCGGTGCAAATCCACAACCTAGACAACTAATCTTTTATTAGTTATTTAAAATTTCCTTAGCACCAGTGGTTCCATTGAATGAAAAAAAAACCTTTGTGGAAAATTATGGTAGATTAGATGCTATTTAAATATTTCGTCTCAAATAGTCGTGTTTTATACCCCTCACAAGAATATATGGAACTTCTAAGAGAAATTTGTTACACTTGTGAGTAAACTATTTCACGATTTCATAACACTTGTTTGGATGACAAACTTTTATCATACAATAATCTACAATGTTTGATGTGACACAACAGACAAGTGACGTAGTCAATATAAATGACGATTATGTTTGAACCACCGAGAAATCAGACTTCACCGCAGATAGTTTGCCATAAGCCTAAAAGTGGCGACTGATAGAAAGAGAACTCTTCAACAACCAGTCGTTAAGCACTGAATTTTCTCCCTTCTAGTAACAACCGCACTCAGAAGACTGCTTGCTTTTAAAATGACGTAAATGCTGTTGCTGAGGTACAATCCAACTAAGATTGAAAAGCACCTAGTAGCTTATGGTATGTTACTTGCCAATTTAGGAAGTTATTTCAATGTTAAAATAATGAGATCCAAAATATGTTTTTGCTGAATATCCATCCAATTTATTATTTAAAGAAACTTAGGGATGGTTGCTCGATAACTTGATGGTTTATTAATAGTTTTTAATATCAAGTGTGCATTTGAAAGCACTTACCTGTCTACATCCAAATAATAATAAATCAGAATCTTCAGTGATGACAAAGTCGGCATAACCCGTTCGATTAAGATACGCTAGTTGAGCATCTGCTTCATATGGTGCGATAACACAATCAACACCCATGTTACGAGCAGCCTTATAAGATAAGTGAGAATAAAATCGAAAATCTAACCAGTGAATAATCAAGTTATGTTGTAAGCAAATACGACTATTAAATATATGACTAAAAATAACATGTGAGGATAACCACGTGGGTCATTATAGTGGTGCAAAAATGTGTTAGTTAACAATTTAAACACAGTTAACTGAGGCTAAAACAACCTTCAAGTCAAATAAATGTGCAATAATTAAGACGAAAATTACGCATTAATACTAAGTACTGGCATAGTTAATAAGATATTTTGATAATTTCGAATTAAAAACCGTAAGTTTTCGAAAGTACTATTATATGGGTCGGTAAAACTGAAGATTATACGAAATTACCGATCTTGACTTAGATCAACTTTTTGACATCAAACTATGGCTGTACTCCTTGACTTTAAGGCAGCATTCGACTCTATTGATTGAGAGGTTATGTGGTAGTGTCTATAATTTAAACACTTACGTTGAACTTGTACAGTCTTTTTCAGACACTAATGGTCAAGTTAGGACTTACAGACAACTGTTACCAGAATTATTACCGTCAATTGGATTTCGTCACGGTTGTCCGTTTTCTGCATTCTTATTTAACATTGTCATAGACGTCTTAATGCCTCACTTTTTAGAGGTTGACTTGTTCCCAGGGTGTTCAATTGTTGATTTAGATTACGCAGACGATACACTTTAAGCAATACTGCAACCATGCATGGGGTACGGTGATATAGATTTAAATAGGAAATTTTGCTTCATGATAGGTCTGCATCAGCGCCTGAATTGAGTGCGTCGATTACTTCACTTATTTTGGGACTCATATCAGTCTGGATAGGTTGGTGCTAGACAAAATATTGGAACGAATTCAGAAGGTTTGGTTGGTGTTTGTCAATTTCCTTTGCTTGTGATGCAGGAGAGATATACCTTTGACAACCAAAACACGAATTTACTGCGTAGCACTTCGCCCCTTTCCACTTTACGAGTATGAAAAGTAGCCATTAAGAATACAGTAGATTTGTAGGTTACCATTATTCGATCATACGTATCTTCGAAGCATCGTTTGTTTTCAGGGTACCCCGAGTGAGCAACGCTAATTTTAGGCATAAGGCACTAGATAAATATGCCAAATCGATCGATGAAGTGGTGAGTCTTCATCAAATGAGTTGGTTAGAACAGATGTTACGTATGCCCAACCACCGCGTACTTGGTATAGGACTACGTCGAAAGCTAGAGCCTGGCAAAACAAGACGTAGGAACAGTCAATTAAATCAAAAACCGGAGTGAAACAGGTTAATAGATAAAGGCTACTTGGTTGAGGTCCGCTTGATTGTTGTAGTTAATGAGTAGACTTTGAGTAGAATGACTAGGAATCGCTCGCTATGCCCGATGTACATCCATTTTTTGTCCAATTTAAAGCTTTGAAATCTCTCCATACTTTTCTTTTTCTGAACCTACTCTTTTCTACCACTAATGATACTGTTACTCCCTTTACCACTGCCATGTATCTGATATAACTTCACCTCGCTTTCCTGGTGCGGTATGGGGACTTGAACCAACGCACTCGTGTGCCACGTCTTACGCTGGATATGAGTTATTAACTGAGGACGCGCAGCAATCTTGTATCAATATCTAAATAATGATTAGCCTGCTGATAGATCTTTTCTTAAAGTTTCACATAGAACTTATCAAGAGTTAAGTACAAAAAAGTTTCAAAAACACAATCGAACAAGCTTAAAGAGAAGTCTCAATATTCTTGCAAAGTGGGCAACGACTGGAACCTCCCACATGAGTAGGCAATATCCGTAACATCGATCAACAATTTTAAGGAACTGAACGGCGAGACTCTAATTTAGGGACAAGCCAATCAAAAGCGTTTGAGCAATTTCAATTTTGAGTCAATCAGAAGACAGCATAAAGTAAAAATACATTAAAAGAAAGTAATAAATTACAGTGGATATTCCTCTTTGACATGATTTAAAAACTCGTATGTTAGCACCCTAACCCTAACCTTAACCCTAAACCCTCACCTAACCCTAAACCTTAACCCTCAACTAACCCTAACCCTAAACCCTAACCTTACCCGTAAACCTAACCCTAACCCAATAGACGAGTTTCTATTCCATATGCATTGTGAATTCAGAACCTCTGAACATTAATCAAACCTTAGCAAGTTTTTAAATCATGTAAAAGGAGAATATCTACTGTAATTCATTACTTTCATATAATATATTTTCACTTTATACTAACTTTCTTCTGTTTGGCTAATAATTGTCAAGGTCACTTAAGATTCGTTCAAAGGTCGTCCTTAAATTAGAGTCTCGCCGAACTGAACCTTTACATAGATTTTTGAGGATTAACCTAGTTTAATCAATCCACTAGATTTATTACTAAAACGTGAAAAATTTTAAGCATAAAGTGATGATTCTTAGTCATAGTTACCCTTAGAGTTAGAAAACTCTACTATAAGCCACTAATTTTTCTTTCAAAGTACGTATAAATAGTACGATTCCAATCGTCTGTTTTATATCCAAAACTGAAAACAGCTATATATATCAGTAAGTCGTAACAGTAATCCTTTCCAATAAACAATCCAATTACTAACCACGTAAACCCGCTTTTTAACTTGACTTCAAATCTCATACAGAATCTAAGTTTGCGCATAGTAATCAGATATGTATTTAAATGATTTAAATAGCACAAACTAAACACTAATAATACTCACTCGAAGAACCTCGTATGCCATTTCGGAAGTGACGAACACCGACCTTTCAAAGCACTCTTGGGCAGCTGCCTTGTCTCCCTTCATAAGATATTCTGCAGCTTTTTTTCGATTTAACTCTTTGGTCCTAAAACATTAAGCACAGTAAATGATGTTACTCTCGACGTTTTGAATCCGTTTCGGCCTTGGATGGCAAATCTGAGCCGTCAAATACAAGGATTGGTTTAACATTGCATGACTTCATGAGGTTGATGTACTTAACAACATACCGGACGTATCTGAAGTGGCATCGTAGCTAAATATGATGCTTACTGGTCAGTTGGAATCCCAAGTGCTAGATCGGAAGCGCATGCATATGAAGATCTATGGATCCAACAGTAAACATCCACAGCAGCAACATAACCACTAAAATCGGCTAGATTAATAGGAACTGATGCATTTTTTAAGAATGGAAGAAGACCCTTGATACCCATGAAGGGTACAGTTTAGCTTTTGGTAGGTTTATGTCTGGCCTAAAGATGCAAGGCTCAGAGTACGTCAATCTGGAAATCGAGATTAGATCCCGATCCAACCTTAGAAACTGATATTGAGAAGACACAATCCGCGGCAGTTCATAGTGTATCGAGAAGTAAGTCAGAAAAACAAATCATATTGAGTCTGATACTACTCCATGTAATATTTATAAACGTTTTTGAAAACTCTTTATTTTTTTGTTCTAGCTATAGCGACAAGCAAAGATAGAAAATTTGCAATAACAATAGAATAACATATCATTCTTTCCGCCGAATAGTCGAATGTTTGCCTAAAATTCCGCCGAATTTTCGAATTTTCGCCTAAATATCTGTCTACGTTTTGCCTAAATTTCAGCCGAATTATCTACTTTTTGCCTACATATACGCTAAATTTTTACTTTTCGCCTAAATACACAAAGAACTGCCTATTTCTGATCCATTGGCATAACCCTAAAGGTCTTCTATGTTCGCCTTTATTCCAAAAACAAACCGCACTAAAACTGCAAGCCACAGGAAAAAGGGCATATTTTTAAATAATTTTATTGAAAATGAAAAGCGTATTATTGTACAACATTATGGCACAAGCTTGAGCATCAACCGTTTTGCATATCCACTGCAATTGCCAGTTCATTGTTATTTGAAAATATCTGCAAAAGAAGGAACAGGTTATGTTTTATTTATAAGGCATGTGTATTTAATCGCTAGTTCACTAACAATCAAACACACTCTCTCAACGCTTCAACAGCTTTCCATGTAAGTAAAAATGTAAGCTGTTTTACCAAAAAATGTCCATTAAAAATTAAGTAGAACATAAAAAGGTTATGCGAACTTTTGCCTTTAGCCACGTATGTTTGGCTATTGAGAATTGAAGTTGTCGTCCCGTGAATTCTGAAGTTAAAAAACAACAAAAGTCACAACGATATCTCAATGACATGTCTTGGCACAGCCAAATGCTTTAGGCTAAACTTACGGTTATGTCCGTAAACACTGATGACTGTAACTATAGAGCCGTAAGGAAAGTTATCACTTTCAATTAGTACATACCTGCCCTTCTTTCCTTCTCTTACGCTTTATCACTATATCTCTGACATCGTGAAAATAACCTTGTGTCGCAGAGCTTCTCAAGGTCTTTTTCGTTGACAGAGGATGATATAAAGCGATTTGTTAATGCACCTGGAGTTTAAATAATAAATATGAGTTACTCCGTATGCAGCCGTAAAATCGGCATTTCTGAAGTGCTCGTTTTGAAGAGGTGCCAAGTAACGGGAACTTACTGGCAACCTCGGGTGTCAAAAGGTGCAACAGAACATACCTCATTGATGTTTTGGGATCGTCACTTGATAACCTTGTAACCATTGCCATCTGTAACAGGAACAAATTATTAAATTAATGTTGATGACTTACAAATCTGTCCCTGGTTTCTTTATGCTGCAAACCAGTGTCCAGCATCTGAAGTTCCTCTTCAGATGACAAAGGGAGCCGCTGACTCGAGATTCCTCAATCGAACTGATGCGGTTGTTCTCGTTCATTGGACTTAATTAGTAATTGCTTGACATTAATACTTAAGTCCGTAATGGCTGTGGACATTTTCTGCAGCATTTTACTAAAGTCAGTCATAGTTGACGAAATGTTCCGCACCACTGTATGCAACCTGTCGAAGGTGAAAAAGTTCACTTGATGATTCAGGTGACTTACTGGTCCGCTATAGCACCCCCGACATGATTAGATTCCGATGTTGACGGTGATGTCTCTAAATGCGACGAACTAATCCGTGAACATCTAAGTAGTAATGAAACTTACTTGGCAATTGGCGAGACGAATTTGTCAAACAACCGGAATTTTAGATATTGAACATGGCTATTGCCAGCCTGCATCTCAGCCACGTCAATGTCAAGTGAATTGTAAAGAAATTCTTCTTTACGCTTCATTTCACCTCTAGGAAATGTTAGTAAGATTATTGTACAGACCTCTTGGGCTTTTCTGTGTTTTGTGGCAATGTGTTTTCATCCGTAGAGGCATTTTACGGCGAGATTCTAGTATTTGTAAAGAAACTAATAGATATTTCGCAGACTTCAAAGAATCTATAGTGAATTATAGTTTCTATGTTTTTTTTAATTACCTAATTCGTAAATTACATTAAATTTCATAACTGACCAGTTGTCATCTGGTTTATCGCAGTTTCGCAGGTGCGTATCTACCAGCTTTATTGGAAAAAAGCAAAGTTCCTTGCCTACTGTCCACTTCTTGGATGCTATCATAAGCTGTTTCTTGCTTAGGACGTCAACAATGACGTATCGCTTGTTAGTGGGCTAACAATAACATAAGACGTAATTAAATGGTTTATCGTAATTAATTCAACACTAATGTAACAAAATGCATTTACATTAAATTATGGAACAATGGGATTATAACTAGATTATTGATACAACTGATGGCTATACATTTACAATCAATGTCCTCAAGCAACATCCATGTGTGTTCATAGCTAACGACGGAGCACATAAAGATTCCTATATCACTAGATGGGAAAGGATCTCCAAAGTAATTGCGTGGGTCAGTGAAAGACCTAAATTTTAGTAGTCCATCCTCCTTTATATCAGTGACGAAACCAGGCTGTCCGTTTACTACTACTACCTTATCTGGCTTAAATGAAGTTATGTTACTACTCTTAAACATAATCACTTGTTTAGTGGAGACATCTTGAGCGCTTATTGGGGTAGTATATGTTAAACATGTAGGTTGAAACCTATCGCAGAAGGACATTTTTCAGCATAACGCTGAGCTGCTTGCTTAGCTACTGCAAACCTACTATGCACAAAATCCTTAATTTGTCTCATATAAGACTCGAATGGAAGGGCTGAAAAACTATATATAGGTCCATGTGCACGAACGTTGTCAGGGAGGTGCTGTGACGAATGCACACTGTAAACTACGTTTTCAGACCCATAACACCATTCGTATTCCTTAAGGAAGTTTTGTAAATCTATTCTGGCGGATTCTACAACAGTTTTATGTAATTTAGGATGTGCAAGCAGGCAAATGGATAACGCTTAACGCCGGAAATTAACATACAAAGGTTGTGACAATGTTTTTTGAAGAATCACCGGGCCTAAATACAGAAGGGACAACCTACATTCTGAAGCTTTCCTTGCCGATACAAAGTCTAGTGTACGGAAAGTCGGAAGGAGTACTTACCACGCAACCTGATATTAAATTATTTATGTCCCTAATTGCACATGAGTTAAAGTTCAGTAGTCTTCTGGGTGCTAAATCTGTCCATAAATTAGCCAGTTTTTTTCTGACACCAAGGTACACCATGTGCATAGGACCTAAAGGAAAAGTTAGAGTCATATTAATAGAAAGCGTTTCCATAATAGAATGTTCATGATGGTGAATAGATTGAGTCCGACGACGGAAGGTTTCGTCCGTTTTTTAAGTTTATACCCCATTTGGAAAGGTCGTCTTTCCTTCCAGCCGTCTCACAAGTACAGTACACCTATCACAACCTGCCTTACCGTTATGATTTACCGTGTACCTAACAGAAGAACGAGCAGGTGCGTCCCATATAACAGCCGCCAACCTAATAGCTATGTATTTATTAAACTTAACACTAAACAGACACATGTCAGTAATTTCTTTTATTTCAAAAATTGTGTCCGCAGAAAATTCGTTGAATTCTGCCGGTTTAGTGATAGTGATCTAGATCGCTATCTGTTAGCTGCAGGGCAAGTGAAGTGTTACTGGGCCATCTGAACCAATTGAACCATTTGGGCCCAGGGCGAATCATCCGATGTTTCGGCCAGTGAATTTCGAACTGTACACTGATCCTTATCAATGTCAAGGATAAAAAACAAGTATCAGCTAACTGCAAGACATGCATTGGACGTGCCGTGATGTTCTCTTTTGTCGATTTTACCTGCTCTTACTAATGTATTTCTGTAAGAACTCCGTTTGTGTCGTACCGTCATAAATGTAGTCATAGTATCTAGATACGACGAGAGAGTAATCCAAGTTAGGTACTAATCGTGGTGCACGACTTCAACGTGTAGTTGTCTGATGAGATTATCGATGAGGTTGTCGACGGGCCCACCACGTTTATGGTGCCGTGATACAACTTTGCTCGGACGAAGATGATATGTACATAAATCTTTCATTTAAGTCCGTGTATTACCTAAACTAACCTCGCGAGGGTGACAGTGGCAGCAAGAATCCATGTACGGGTTGCGCTGGATGAATTTTTCCAAGCACTCATTTATTCAGGCAGGCATTGAAAATAAGAGACAGGAAAGCAAAGCAGAGAGGAAAAGGCGAAGGAGAAAACTCGTTTTAATAACACGTGAACAAATACATGCAGTCAGAAAAATATAAGCCTGGACCTCATGGAATCCCTCAAAACCGATGGTGTTATGGTACACATTAAGCATTGAAACCACTCTCATCATGACCCGATAAAAAGCAAGACACTTAGAAATTACTCCGGTAGAATATCTGAAGCACTCAGCAACAGCCTACAATGAAAATAAGTTGGGTCTTTTAATATTTAGTTCTCACAGTTTTCTCTTTTCACCACATATTTTACTGTAAGATAATTGATTTTCAATTGCTTGTTGGTGTTTTAAAAGTGTTCACCTACTAGTACATTCTCATAAACTTAGTCTTGAAACCCACACTTTGTCCTGAGTTATTATTCAATACAGTTTTGACGTACTACAAATGGTCCACGAGCTTAGCTGTCTGATATGCTTATACATTATATTTGTGAAAATAATGTTTTTTAGGAGAGTGTGGAACATAAAGCCTGGAGTTAAGCCTAATTACAGGCTGACTATCATTATAAAATATTTTAACATAACGATGGGGGAAGGGTGGGATTACTGACCGTCAAAAACTGATGACGAGTTCGATTATTTCAATCCACAAGTGTTTGTCAGTAGAAACATTTTTTTGTTTCGGACTCGCTG